TCACGTGATCTAATAAATGTAAGGTCAAGAGTTTACTCAACAAAAACATCTGCCTTTAACTGTAATTAAACAAAGATAAGAGGAAATAAGACATGGAGGCGAAACCCAAAAAGTTTGCAGAAGAAGCAGGCAACAAAGACACGACTTTAAGTAAGCATGGAGAAGACGGAGGGGATGAGGATAACCAACCAAATACAACAACAAAAACAAAGCCACAAACACCAGTCACCATCACCAGAATAAATTTGAAACAGGTTACTTCCTTCAGTTATCCAGCCATTTTGATTATGAAAAATGAGGAGGAAGCAAAGAACATCCTGGATAAATTTAACAAGGTTCATCCTGCAAAAAATTTTACTATTGAGAAAGAAAAAGACTCTAGTATCTCATTTCTAGACGTCCTTATGACCAGAAAAGAGGATGACGCAATAAGAAGAAGTGTTTATAGAAAACCTACATGAACGGGTCAGTATACTCATTTTTCTCCGCTTCGTGCCCTTGAAATACAAACGCAATCTGATAAAGTGCTTCGTTCACAGAGCAAGAGCAATTTGCTCGGATGAATGTCTTGATGAAGAACTTAATAATATTAAACGGTTGCTGAGTGAAAATGGTTATCCAGAAAAGTTTATTGATAAGAATATGAATCAAAAATCAAGGCAGCCCAAGGTACCAACAGTTCCTAAAAAAGCCTTATTCTTACAAATTCAGTTCCTTGGGGACAACATCAGCGAGATACTAACACAGCGCCTTACAAATACAGTAAAAACAGCATTCCCTGCTGCCGAATTACGCTGCGTCTTCAAAACCACTCCCCTTTCGCGTTCGGGAGTAAAGTACAAACTGCCTAATTTCGCCTCTTCCAAGTGTGTGTATCTACCAATTTAACTGCTCCTGTAGAGTGAGCCAGTTAAATAGGACGTACAATTAGACGTGTTTTTCGTCGAATTTTCGAACATCAACCTGTGTAGTTAAGCAAAGGACAAACAAAATCTATTCGTAGCGCTATTCTATCCCATCTTGTGGATACAGAACACAAGATTGACGTTAACCATGCTTTCAGGGTCATTTACCGCATACCTACAAATCTCAATTTTGCCTTAAGAGTTTGACTACTAAATATTCCTGAGACTGTGGGGATCCATATTAACAAGCCTAATTTGTGAGTCCAAAAGAAGTTAGTTCAGACTTTATCCTTACCTGGGCATCTAGGTTTGAATGATCCCCAATTTTTGTAGAAATTTCCCTAATTTTAGTTGATATTCTATTTGCTACTATACCTTTATTAGTAGCATTATAATTTAAGCATCTTTAATGAACTGTAATTGCATTGATCTTAATTAACAAATCGATATTAATTAAAAAACACTAATATTGTTATTGACCACTAATCTAGAATATTATATGTATTTAAATATATGTCTATAACTGTAGAGTCAGAAGAGGAAATTATCCAAAAGGATATTCTTTGCTCAATTATTTTGTGTTTTATAGACTCTGAAAAGACAAGACAGACACTCTAGAATCAGTTTGCAAGTCTTCTGAACGCAACCAGAATGAACAACAAACCTCAAATTTCCAACACCAATGATAAGTCAGTCATTGTTTCTATAGAGGTCAAAAACTTGGCGAGTCACTAAAAACATTCTCAGCACGTTGTAGACATTTCTTAACAGCTGCCCCTTTCGCCGGCTTCATACTGAGGATCAGATGGCAGGCGAGAAGGAATTAGCAACCCGAAACTATGGAAATGAACCAACCAACAACTTATTACTCAACAAATATGTAGAAGAAAATGGAGATGGATCAGGCACACGTTGAGGCCACAGTCTGATGACTTTGCACACCAATGGAACCCGAGATGGGTATTAGTTTGAGGGTGGCACGGAGAAAATCGTGTGAGGATTAGATGAGAGAGGACCGCGGGGAACAGCACAAAATGGAGATGCCCTGTTGAAGCCCTATGTTCCACTCGGAACCCAAGGGAACAATAAAACAGGGAAATGGATACCTACATACTTACACACCTTGAAAATATACCTCACTTATTCATCATTAGGTTAGTGCTGAAGATATCATTAAACCCAGCGATGAGATGTTCACAATTATTGCACCATCAAGAAGAAAGTAAGTTTTGAAAAACTAACAGAAGCCTATGTCTGCACCCATTCTTATTTCGTGAGGATGCTTTATGTGAATACTTGTTTTCATTCTGTTACCGCTTAACTTTCAGATCATTCCTCTTCACCTTATATTATTGTAGTACTAATTGGCATTCCTCTCTGTTCATAAATAAAATCGATAAATGAGCAATAAAACATCAAACTGTTATCTACCTATCGAAATGTCTGTTGAGACTAGACGAAGATCTACAGGAGAAGAAGTGGTTATCTTCAACTCATCCAGTGTTCTAAATCCCAATGATACTATTCACTGTATCCAGTTAATAAACAACTTGAAATAATTACTTAACCAAATGCTCGTATCAATTTGCTGGGATAATGCACCCAAACACAATGGACCCAATAATTTCACATGACTTATTTTTCCCTAACAGTCTAACTTCAGTCAGTGAATGAGGTTAAACAATGTTCAACAGTTCGAATAAATCTCAAACAGAAAAAAATCCTTGCATAAATATCTTTAGTTCGTGATGCGCTAAGCCTGTTTCCCAAGCAAAGAGGTCTGAACCGAGTGCTTCATTACCACCAGTTGACGCCAAACTAACCTGTCTCCAAAATCAAGTTGTTCTCAAGCGTGACACGGCTTCTCACGCTTTGATGGTGGGGAGGTCACAAATGCTCTAGACCTTCCAGTATGCAACAGACCAGTCCCTCAACGTCGGGGTTAGCCAGGTGCAAGAAATATACAGTGCAGGTTTAGAGTAACCCCAAGTAATAGGACTTTTCTAAGGGGGGAGGTGATATGTAGAGAGATGAACTATAGATTATCGTTTATTGATGATACCGTGGTCAAGGTCAGCCTAGAAGTAAACCAATCAGGATTGGCCTACCTAAAATAACATCCACTATTTTACTGATCATGATTATAAACTAATTGATTGGTAGTTTTTTCTTAATCATACATGATCGTGTAAAATATACGGTGGCTGATACTGGAAATACACATTTCGGCTCCCGTCGTTGTGTGTTCTCGCTTAAGTAGAGCTGGCTGAGGGAAACAGGCAACCGTCGTATAATGTTGTTGGCGTAGTCAAGCGGTATTAGTGATTAGCGCTTCTGTGTACAACTCAGCGTCCCTGTTTTAATTTAAATGTTATTGCGAAATATAAGTGTTGACATCATAACACGTCATTGGGCAGAAAAACTTCGCAGCACTATACTAAGGTCAGAAATTGAGAGTCGTGGGAAGAAACAGCCTCTTCTCTAGCTAATACCAGTTTGTAGAGAAATATGCACTGAAACTGATCACTACAAACTCAAAATTTGAAATGAAAAAGTTCAGCTACATACCAATGACTGGTCCACCGGTGGTTCAGCAGTAGAATGAATGCTCGCCAACCACGCCTAACGTGGTCCAGGATTCGATCCCCAGTCAACACACTCCTTCAAACCTAGCCTAATCCGTTGTTAACCCGGTAAAGGGGGGAGGTTAGATGGGCGTGAGGCTAGCAATCCCACCCCGTAGAAATAAAAACCACTGCTACTGAAAATTCAAGCCTTCATGCTCTATGCTCTACTGGGAACGCAAAGGAATAGAGGAAAAAGAATCAGTCAAGAAAAACTAATCATTTTTGTAAAAACCTTTTCTTAAAAAAGTAAAATGAGATCTAAACAAACACTATCGTAAAGACTATACATTAAATGTCAATAGAACCGAACACTCAATTTGTGCTTGAATAAACTTTCAACTTGGATGAAAACATGCAGGTATAGTAAAAAATAAAAACTAGCCAGAAAAACATAACTAGTTATAAAAATAACCACAATCAAAGGTGAAACAAGCTTCACTGCAGTAAAAAGTAAACTCGACTTAAATCTAGTATCCACTGAATTTGAGCCATTTTTGTAAACCCGAAGAATTTTTGGTTTGAATTCAAGACTAAAATTTAACTTTCCAAGTATTGGTTTTGTAGGGATTTTGTTTGATTGGTTGGAGGATTTCATCATGAGCTGACATCGGTTAGAGAACCATTGGAAACCAGCTGGGAGTAATAGTTAGCTGTTTCCTACATTCTAGTTTGAAACTTTCCAGCAGTGCGCATCCACCTCCAGGGTTCGAACGCAGGACCTCTTGATTACAAGGCGACCTCATTAGAATCCATGGTCTACGAGCTCGCCTAGTAACCAGAAGGTCCTAGGTTCGAACCCCGGTGGGTGCGTACTGATGAAACAGCTGTCCAGTACTCCCAGGTTTTCCAGTGGTTCTCTAACTGATGTCAGCTCATGATGAAATCCTCCATGTAAAATTTAACTAACAACCATATCTATGAACCCTGCCCTACGGTAAGACTACAGATTCAATAACCTAAGAAACCTAACGATTTTGACACACTTGAGTGGCAACTCCTCCAGGAACCAATGGTTGTGGAGATTTTTGCTTATTGTTTTAAGTACTTGACTTAAGTCGATGACTTGACAGTTCGACTTCCGCCCCACCTACTCTAGTCCACATAACTGTGTAGTATTACCAGGCTTCATATAACAGAAGAGCAATCTAGGGGAACAAAATTCCATTTTTAGACGTCTTAGTCAAGCAAACAACTAAAGGAAAATTAGAAACTCAAGTATACAGAAAACCAACACACACACACAGATCAAATACTCAATTACAAAATCAACAACCCAATAACACATACAAAAAGAGTTGCATACAAACATTATTATTAAAGAGAACTAGGACTGATTGAAGAAAAATATCTTATGACCGTCTTCTAAAAATAAATGGATATCTATGAAACTTCATCAGGAGATATCTGCCCTCAACCTAACACACCGAATCAAAAATCCCCAATGAAAATACAAAGAAAATTGTCATACCATATGAAAAAAACATCTCCGAAATCACTGTTGGACTATTCAAATCTTTTGCAATTGATACAGACCATAAACCAACAAAATCACCTCACTCGGCTCTATGTGTCGACCGAAAGACTCAACAGCAAAAGAAAATAAAGCCAACATCATGAACAAGATAAATTGCAACGACTGTGAAAAGCATTACATTCGTCAAACTGGACACCCTCACCGTCTTCGCATCCATGATGATAAACTAGGCGTCACAAGATACGATACCCACCCACTTCGTCATATCACTGCGTGCAGACAACTACCGACAGCAAATTCGATTGGGGTAATTTCCAAATCTTATAAAGAGAGAAAACACGAAAAACGTCAGAGAATTTCTAGAAGCCTGGTATTTAAGTAAATCGGCTATCATCAACAGAAAAGATTTACCAATGCATAGGAAGGAAATCAGATTGTAACAGCAGAAGGCAAGAGACGGAAACTAAGGTGTATTTTCAATTTATATATATATATATATATATATATATATATATATATATGTATATATATGTTAACTAATCACTGAGCGTGTGAATTTCTCTTACATTAAACGACATGAAATAGAATGTTCAAATACATATATAGTATCCTGTTGCTGACGCAGTATTGAACTGTGGGAATAGTATTCAGACGTTAACACCAACTAATACAATGATTCTTACTGTGAGAATAATATTCCATTGGAACCCATTGTGTGTAACACACAACCGCACTCGTCCCACCATCAAATACTTTAGACTGAAGGTGGTCTGTTCTTCATGGGGCTGGTGTCTTTGTTTGCTTGTCTTGCTTTATCCAGTTCCGGAGCTCGCTGACGTTCACTCGCTTCTCTTTGTTTGCATTCCTGATGGTATATACATCAACCCGTCTCATAGTGACCGTGTATGGTCCTTCCCACTTTGGAAGCGGTTCGAGTGACCCTGCCTCGCATTCGCCGATGTTTCACCTCACACTATCATAATGGTGCTTTTGCCCGACCTTTCAGCAGCGTTCCAAGTAACAGCTTCTTCGCTGACAGATCTTGAATGCTATTCAGCTCCGCAACAGCCTCCTGCAAGAAGATCCATGCGTCTCCTTCTTCAAAAACTGCAGGGCATACATAGGTTGTTCATTTGTCGGCAGGCAGTGAAACCAAATGTAGCAGCAGAAAGCAAGACACGGAAGCCGAGGTATATTTTCAATTGATCAAACAGCTATACTGTTGATATTCCTTAACCATTCACTGAGCGTGCGATTTTAGTTTACATTAAACGACATAAAAAAATGTTCAAATACATATATAGAGTATTCTGTTGCTAACGCGGCACTGAACTGTGGGAATAAGTGAGAATAATATTCCGTTGGCACACACTGTCTGTATCACACCACCACAATAATAAAAACAAAAGGACAACTCTTAGTTCAATACCAAAACAAGTGAACTTGAGCGTGAGAAAATGCGCAAAAACAACGAACCATGGTCAAGGTTACTAGCAGAGATGCCTAATAAAATCGTGAAGAATTTTATAAGCTTACTTCAAAACTGGACCAATTAAACACTTTAGGCACCACTAACTACCAATGGAGTGCGGCCGCACCAATGACCTTGAAATGCTCACTTAGCAAGTTAGTGAAACCAGGCAAACGATGTCATCATCAATAAAACATGTTCATCGAAGCGTTAGGTTATTAAATGGCATATATGGGAAGTTTCAGCTTAGGTTTGGAAAAGATTAATTTACACTTTAAGCCAAGGACAAGTTAGGGTTAGGTTAACCTAATAAAGGCAACATTAGGGTTGGTTCGAGTTAGATTAGGGTTAGTTTAGGGACATTTTCACGTTAGGGTTAGGTTCAGGAAAGATTAGGGTTGTAGTTAGGGTTATTATTATTTCCTTTAATTCCTAGAGGAACATAGGGCTTCAGCCGTGCGTCTCCATTGCCTTCGGTTCTCTGCTAGAGTTTTCACCTGGCTCCAAGTCTGCCCACACGCTTTCATCTCTTCTTCACATAACCTTCTCCAAGTCACCCTCACACTGGTGACCAACTGGCCGCTTCCATTTCGGGTTCCACTCGAGCAATGGCTTGTCTAGTGATGTCACTTGATGGTTTCCTCAGAGTATGGCCAATCCATCTCCATTTCTTCCTGCCTATTTGTTTCACAATCGGTTTCTGCTGTGTTCGTTCGCTCCCAGAGATCCAGCCCTGTTGCTGATCTTTTCTGGCCATCTGATCTTGAGTATTGAGCGAAGACAACTGTTAATGAAGGTCTGTAGTTTGTTTGAGATGGTCTTAATGACGCGCTGGTCAAGTCTCTGATCCGTATAGTAGCACTGACTTCACATTGGAGTTGAAAATCCGGATCTTATCTTCGTTTTGATGCTGAGTGTTGTTGACCTCCACACAGACTTGAGAGTAGTGAAAGCTTGTCTTGCTTTCCCGATTCTTGCTTTGATATCCTCGTCAGTTCCGCCTGTAGTTGAAACGATGCTTCCCAGGTGGGTAAAGGAGGTAGTTTCTTTCAGGTTCCTCCCATTTATGCTTATCGTTGCCTGTTGTTGTTGCTGCTGTTGGTGTTGGCCAGGAATTTTCATCACCTCTGTTTTCTCTATGTTCACCTGACGGCCTATCTTTGGGTTAGGGTTAGAAGACCTAAATAATTACATGCATAAAATGTGGTTAAATTACTCTGTTGATATAAGAATAGAACTTGTGCACCGTGGTGGTAGAGTATAATTCCATTGTTGGTAAAATTTATTTTGATAAAGTCTCACAGTGTTATACAGTAATATTTAGTGATGACGTTTTGGGCACGATTTATTGGTCAGTACATATTACTGTATAACACTATGAGACTTTATCGAAATAAATTCTATCCACAGTGGAATTATACTCTGCTGATACTCCAACCAAAAACTGAGAGCTATTTTTATCAAATGTGAGAGGAAGGTATCCTGTGTAACACTTTTATACAGTTTTAATGCATTTTTTTTAAATAAATATATGTATTCCATACACAAAAATGCCTCATTCAAGTGATTGGTGCGTTCGAGGTCCTTCGCTGATTGGTAGTGGATTGTGCTTAAAGTTTAACTTTGCCCAAAACTGAAGTATGCGCTGAGGATATTGCCTGCTAAGACAATGAAAGCTTCGCAAATAAGCCATCCAGCACGTATATACGCTGGTACATGAAAAAACCTCATACGGGTAACACTGACTTTAAATCACCATTAGAGTCTAATTTCAACTGTAACCAAAATCATATAAGTCAATTAGCATTAATTTTACTTCCAAGGTCCAAGGCTTCCTGCCGATTGCCTCCAACTTAGAATGCTGGTCACATTGCGAACTTTACTGATAGAATTCAGTCTGCACCAAACAAAGGACTAGACACACTACACTAGTTACTAACTAGTGTCCAGTCAAAGAAACCTTTTAAACGAGCTTTTTATGTGTGATCGACAAATTGTTTAAACAAAATTAAAAAATTGAACGCTTTCTAATAATCAATCTCTTATGTCTGTTTATTTTTATCTAGATACACCCACGCTAAAAAGAAAGCGTATCACTCCTACTTTTGATCACATGACCAGCATTACATTATTATCGATCTCACTGACACCAACAGTGAACCAATCACATGCTGCTAAAAAGAGTTAGGCAGGTAAATCACAGTTACACCAGATGCTTTAAGTGAAACACAACTAACTGTATTTGCACTTTATTTTTCTGTCATTTTAAAGGATTTTTCGAATGAACCACTTTTTTAAATTTTTTTTTCACAGACATAAAAAGAATAAATAATCAAGTGAAATGTGATGATTTCAGAGAAATTCATGGGATATTTATGACTTCCAGGTACTTAGCTCTAATATAGTATTATTATTATTATTATTATTATTATTATTATTGTTAAAACCTCGTAATCTCCCTTCTCATACATGTATATATAAATATATATATATATATATATCGATGCGTATGAAACCACCTGTCAGGTGATCCACAACGGAGAACTCAGCGAAGAAGGCTTTGAAGTGAAGTGAAGAGTAAGACCAGGCTGACTACAATCACTCACGCTGACATTCCAGATTGTGGTGGTGGACTGGATTATGCGGATGAATGTGGGAAGTGTGAATACAGGAATACGTTGGACCACCGATAAGAAGACTCCATCCATCTAGAAGATCTGGATTTCGTGCGTGGATGATCTACGTCTAATGTCACACAAACTCGAAGATTTACGGGGCGAAAACCAACAAACTGGCACAAGAGGCACGCAGGAAGGACGGTACTTCAAGTGAACATAGAAAAGACAGAGGTGATGAAGATAACCAACCAACAGCAACAAGCCCCGATTACTATCAACGGAATAAGTGTGAAGGACGTCAATTCCTTCATTTATCCCACCAGGTAGTATCGTTTCAACTTCAAACGGAACTGATGACGACCTCAAAACCAGACAGAATCGGAAAGGCAAGACAGACATTCAACACTATCAAATTACTTTGTAAATTTTCTCCAATCCACAGCATAAAAAATTCGGATTTTCAACACCAATGTTAAGTCAGTCACTTCTCCTATGTGAGTCAGAAACTTCCACTGCTTGTCACGGAGAGCACTTCCAACAGCTGGCGGTAGACTTTCATCAACAGCTACTCTCTCTCGCTCTGGCTCCATACTGAAAATAGAATGCTCAGAAAAAAATACCAACAAGGAACTCTAGGAACGAACTAATCAAGGAACTATTGCTCAACAAACATGTAGAAGTCACACACTGAGTAAACCACCGAATGACATCGCCCGCCAGACTATCACTTGAATGGGACCCGAAAGGGAGAGCCCGATGGTGGCACGGAGGATATCGTGTAGTGGGGGGGAAATTAGAGACTATGGACGATGGTGGGACGAGCTGAAGAGGACCACAGAGAATAAGACAAAGTGCAGAGATGTACTGCTGAAGCCGTATGTTTCACTCGGAACTCAAGGGGACAATAATAATGAGTATGGTGGTGAGCAATAAACTGTGCCCAAAATATCACCCAGTTATTGACACTTTATCATTATGTGTTACAAATTAAATAAACTTATCAAATATGGAATTATATTCTTCAACAGCGCTCAAATTCTATTATTACATTAAAGCAACCTACAGTAAAAATAAGATTTAACCAATTTGGTGCAATATAAATAACTACATTTTAGATTTATTTATCTGGTATGACAAAAAGTGATGTAGTACACCCAAATGGATGACACAATTCGATATCAGATCACACTATAACAAAAGCTGCCAAAAAATGAACTTCTATCTATGGTAATT